GATGTACGCTGCTTCTTCCTATACTTCCAGCTCTAAGCCTCAGACGGGTTCGGGAGTCGCTCGAAGGAAATAAGCATGAAAATTTCGGAGTAACGAATAAGTGTCAGTGTGGAGACATGGATCAACTGGTAGTCCCTCAGGCGCAATGTGTAATCAAAGCACTAGTCACAAGTCAGTATCCTTACAAGTAGATTACCTACATCTCCCTCTGACCACCATTTTTTTAACAACAAAAGTCAATAGCACAACTTGTGGCACTATAAAACAACATAGACTAACCAGAATGTCACCGGTGTCATTTTCCTGCAACACAAGCGCTCGTCCACATTTGGCGTTTTGCCAGCTGAGTACCACTTTCAGCGGACAGACATCGTCCGATATCCGGGTCATTTTTCCCTGAAACATTTAGATGTGGAACCCTCCAGGCTAGAAAGGACTGTGAACCAGCCTAGTCAATGGCGTTCTCCTTGGCTGAGGCAATAACGTGCGAGCGCGTCGATGCGGACATGTCATGAGATAATTGCTAATAGTGGGCTTGAATTTGATGGCTGCCCACAAGCAGGACTTTATTGGTGCCCAACACGCTCGTTCATCTTTAGCCTAGCGGTGATTTGTGTTCGCTTGCATCTATGCCTCATTTCTATTCAAAAATTATGGAGGTGCTAGGCGTCACAGCACCAGAGCGATGTCCGTCCGATCAATACGAAAAGTTTTATTAAGAATTCATTGAGACATGCATCTCATTGTCGGCATTCTTCTCATGCCAATTTCTCTTGACAGTCGATTCACCTCGCCACTTGCTTGAATTAGCAGGAATCCCACGGGGATCCTGATGTTGTTTTATCGAGGGCAATATTACTGGTTTGTTCTCGACAAACAGTTCTTAATTACCCATGGGATTTCTTATCTTGCAAAAACATGCGTCACCAGCTCAAGGTCCTGATGACGGAATAAAAAAATAGAGCACAAGGCAGTAGGCGCTGAGCAGCTTCTCAGGGAATGCGCTATGCATTTGACCACCTCCAGTGGCGTAATGGTTTTCGGATAGGTTTTCGGCCAGCAGAAATGCTTTCGGGGCCAGCTAACATACAGCTCAGGATTAGCTTGAGCTGTATATTAGGTGGCCCCCAAAAGTGGCAGTCCCTCCTAAACAGGACCACCTAATAGCCAATGAAGAACCTGGTGCCCAACAAAAAAAAAATGGATGGTTTGGTTGTCATTATGATGGATTCGATCCTGGGTTTGATGAGCGGACTTGTGCTTCTGATGAGCAGCGCCACTTCTCCAATTTAGCGTATTAGCGTGCCTGCGTTCGTCTGCAAGTGCGGCTTGATATACCACCGAGCCCTTCATATGAAAGAGCACGGGAGAGGAAGCATTCGTGCTCTCATAGTCTTCATTCCGGGCCACTGGGGTTTGATTAAACATGACCTTCTGGGTAGTCTTCCCTGGTCTTATCCTCCATGCCCCTGCAAGAAACTAGGCGAACTTGGGGGTAACCATAAGGAACCCGAGAGGAGGGAACCATGTTGGCGCCACGACGATACCACATCACGTAGGCCTGTCGCGCCCTATCTTTACCAGGTTTTTTCTAAGCTCCACCATAGATACTGCTTTCTATCGGGGAAGAGGGGAGGGGGAGGGGCAGACGGGATAGCGTCACAAGTGTGATCACTGTGGTTGTACCAAGATTTGCACAAAAACACTGGAGTTGCCGCTAACTTTGGAGTGACCCAGGATGAGCCATTGCGCAGTCCATGATGCGTTAGGACGTTCCAACTCCAACCGTTCCTTGGTTGCTCACTCTAAGATTAGTTCTTATGGTTAGTACATCTTCTATAACATATTCCTCCTCATCCGCTAATGCGCACCTTCTGTTTCTCCAGTTTCATTTTTTCTCGCTTTTTACATCCTCATGGATGACTAGACACCCCTAGCAGCCTCAGTCTCTCCTAAATCTATATTTGATATTAGTTCCTCCTACCTCCATGACTCTCAGAGGATTTACCGTCTATGTCTTCTTTCTCCCCTCTCCATTTCTTTCCGCTTCTTCAGCACCTGCCTCTCTCGTCTCTCAGCACTGCTGCGTGAAACTAGAGCGTAGTTGCCAAGCTGCGTCGACACTGTCAAGCTCACGAGAGCAATCTTTGCCCCAACCCAAGTTTTCCATTCCTACTTCTTCAGTCCACTTTTCAAAGCTGTGCCCACTCGTTTGTTAGAGTGTTCTGAGAAATGGCGCCTTATGACATTGGCGTGAAGCGCGGTAATGTTGAGTTCCATTTCCCAGAACGTTGCAAAGGGCGGAAATATGGGATTGGAAAGATTTTAGTGAAGTCCTTGTGAACGCGGAGGTGAAAAAACAGTTCAATATTGCAATAAGTGAACTCACTCAGCAAGGTACACGTTTCCTCGTCGTTCTCGTGGGCACACTCGTACAAAGCGAATTTGCGAGGATTGTCCGGCGACTCGGAATTTTCGCAGTAACGTGACAATCATCTGCCTGAAATTTTGTACGTATCAGCTTTAAAGAGGATTTTTCACGCTTTTGACTCATTTGGCCAGGCCAGTTTTCCCAACTTGTTTTCCCAAATGCGAGCGTGAGTCAGGAGATCCGAATCATAGCGGAGCGCAGGAACTAGGTCTTATGCGTTAATAATGCAGATGGTGAGAAAAGATTTCACCTACAAGGCCCCTTTCGCAGCATCGCCGCAACCCGAATCTCCTGACCGCATCAATACGCATAAATAATGCTCTTTTTCCGCACCTAGATTTTTCTACACCACTCAAAACCCTTTCACTTATTTTCTGTAATGGTCAAGTACACATCGTATCCCCACCCTTTAGACTGGAAGGACCAACTGATATAAAGTAACGCTCTGCTCAGATCGAGGGAATCTTATCTACGGTGATACTTACTGTCTGGTTTCGCTGCGGATGATGGGGCGTGTTTGCGCGGCTACTTTTGGAGCGCTGCCAAATCTATTCTCCACCAACTGCTAAGCGGGCCAACCACAACGATTATTGGAAAACGGTCGATACGAGCGTCTTATGCAGTCCTTGCCGAAAGGAAAAAAATAAACAAAAATGGGTTTGCGCCGCTCCGAACGCAACCGCGCTTACACCCCCCATCAACCGCAGCTGACAAGAGTATATCCCGCCAGTGAAGACAAAACTAAAAAGTTGCAGAGTTGCCCAAAACGTTTTCCATGAGACCTATTTCGGCTTCGGTTTTAAATAATGTATGGCGGAGAAAAACTGAGCACCAGCACGAAAGGACCAGAGCCTGCTGACAGACTTTTCTAGTAAGGCAAAAACAAGAAGAAAGTGCAAAGTGAAGACTGGCGCGCAATTCTAGTTGTTGAGCAGACCAAAAATAACCTTAGGCGCTTCCCGAATACGTTTCTATGACTCTTCTTCGGGTGGGCAGTACTGTAGTGGTCGCTCTAGTGGGAGAGGGGAGGACAGAAATATTGCCCAGGAAGTCCAAGGTCGAAGATCAGTTCCTAGCTGAGATGAAACTCTGCATTAGTCTTGTCATGGATAGTTTGAGGTCGTAATTCTCCCTACGCCCATTCTGTCAAGGAGAACACAAGAGATGTTTACTAATGTCAGGTTCTCAAGGATGAGTCCCACAACCCCGGAATCTCTCTCCAATCACACTCCATGGCCGGGTTGACTTACTGGTATTACCTGAATCATATTTGGCGCCAGGGTTAGTGAGCCCACAACCCCCAAGTTCTATCAGGAAATTATTGGAGGCAAGAAAGACGCAGTTTGACTTGGTGGGAGCACCGAACGGCACTCAGCGAGGCACGTACACACCACTACGAGGACACCTGTAAATACTTATCTAATGCTTTAGAAGCTCACTTGTTCCACTTCGCAGCTTTATGAGTATACTGGTTAGCCGACATGGTCTAGTAAAAGAAACAGTAAAAATTCAAAATGCCCCTCCCTCCTCTAAGCCGAGCACCACCGCAGGGTCTAGTGCAAGAAACTAGCGAAAGTTCAAAATGCCCCCTCCTTCTTCTGAGCCGAGCAGCTCCGCAGAAAATTACCCGTTCCAGCGCAGTTTCTGACTGACTGATTCACGTGAGTTGGTGGGAGCAATTCGCTGGTTCCCACGGATCATTGCCAATGCCTCCTGTAAAGACCTGTTAACTCCTGTGAAGCTATGTAGTGGCATGAACTCCGTTCACACTTGACAGGAGTCCACAGGTCAGACCAAGGTGTGAGTGTAAGCTAACAGGCGCTAGAAAAATCCCCCTCCCTAAGACCGAACAGCGCCGATTTTCCTTTGGGGAACAAGCGTAAAGCAATCGGTTCCCAGTGGATAATTGATTGCATGGGATATTCCCCTTGCACTTCCTCTGCTCTTACCCTCGTTTACGTCATAAGTGGATTTTATTCAGAATACTATCTAATATTCCATTCAGCTCCTTCAAAGGGTAATCCCGTGACGCGACACTGCAAAAACAAGTCCGCCGTGAACGGATGAAGTGGGCGGGGAATCCTTGTCATTAAGCTGCGTGCGACTCACTTCGGAAGCGCTCCTGAACGTCAACGACTTCATTCGCCTCCGCCGTTCAGAGGCGTTTACTCAAGCGCTGTTTTTTTTGAGGATAACTGCTTTGTATTGATTCTCGTTGTTCGAGTATACAGAATTAGGTGCCTGGGCAGATCGATAAATTGCCTCCCAGCTGCTGCACCTGCACCACGACCTCCTTCATCTTCGTACTGCTTACGATTGTCGTCATTGTGCTGTTGATGTTGATTGTTTTCACCGTGTTTCTTGGTAAAAAGAACGACGTGATCGTGCGTAGTGATGAGGTGGATTTGCCTGAAATGATAACGGATTTTTTGATAAGCATGGCCGAAGAGGTTGCTCATTTCTTACTGATTCCAAGCCGTGGTTGTGCTTAGCGCCGCCGGAAAGCCTTCCACGTACTCGTACGCCCCAGGCCCCTTCTAGCTCTTCCTTCAGCAGATTTCTGAGCAAAATGGCTCGTCGAGGAAGTTTGGACACAATGTTCAGCGAACTCATACAAGAGGTAACAAATTTCTGTGGTTATTTTCAGACAAAGGGGGAGGCACCTCTGACCCAGGGACCTCAGGCACTCAAAACCAAAGTTAATCGTTTTATCTGTGGCGCTGTTTGACTTGGAGGGGCAGCTTTTCAGTTTGCTAGGTTCTTCTGTTTGTTCCTGCGAACTCATATCTCCTCCTTGGCGCGAAATCAGTAGATTTCCTGGTAAATTTAAGAAAGCTCTTGGCTACTTGCCATGGCTTTACAAAAAGTTAACAGCCTCCCACAGATCTTGAGAGTGATCGATGGGGACCGCAAACCATGCCCTCCTTAAATGAGGCTCGCGCTATTGCAGCTGCTTTACAAGTGTTTTATTAGGTTGTCCCAAAGTTCGGACATTAATCTCAAGCACTTTTTTCCCGAAATAAGTTTATCTCCAGTGGCGCAAGCAATTTGATCAGCTATATTGTTGTACATCATGGCAACTTGGTATGGACCAATTACTAGCAATGTGTAGGTTGCCCTGCCTTCAAGAAAGCTCCTTAGTCTGTGGCCAGAATTAGGCAGCTGGTCATTTTCGAGTAATCATAACATGCTATTTTCTTTAACCAAGAAGAAGCTTGGCCGCTGTGGGAATTAGTTTGGATGTTGCCTCGACAGAGCTAAGTCAAGGCTACACGAAGCCGTGGGTCGGAATTCCCGCTAAGCTTCGGAATGCTCGACCGCAGTGCTCGATTTTCCAATGTCTCTGACTCCCCCGGCCCGAGCGTGACTGGCAGTAGCAACACATCTGCTCGCTTCTCGGCGCCGACCAACATGGTAGGAGATTTTCCCCCCCACTTTGCCAGTTGATTACATAGAGGCAGCCCCCTGGGATTCACCCCACTACAGCCCGCTGGAACGCGAGGCGACTTCGTTTCGCAGAGCCGGAGAAGCCGGTACCGCACACATACACAGACCTCACCCCCGCAAACCTACTGGATTGGCATAGGATTGCCGCGAATCCGGTCTGCCTTCTCGGGGGATCTAGCCGGTGGCGCTCAATCCAGGAGTGATTCAACTAGAGGCACCCACTCCATATCCAGTTACAGTGCTGTTCAACCAGCCTGTACAGCGGAAGAGGGAGAGAAGTTGTAGACAGTACCCACATGTGCTCCCCTTGGAGTACTGGTCAACTCATGAGAAAAATTTTGATCGAACTTCATAACTTTTCTAAGGGAGCGAGGCCTTCTCTCATTTGTGCTTTGGGACCAGTCAAGTGTAAGGAATAGATAGCAAGTTGATTTGTACGTATTGGTTTTAATCAAGGAACACAGTAGGTCCAAATCCAAGGCAGGTGGCCTCCTTGGACGAAGTTTTTCACCCGGATAGAAGTCACTAAAGCAGAAGCAATTGAGCCATTCCAAAGCCGTACTGTGGAAGCTAACATCAAGATCTAAATAAGGGAAATGCCGCTTATGGCTCCAACCACGTTGTGGCTTGGTAGAGATTCATATAGCGAAGTGTGTCGAAAATGATGAATTTCAATTACCGTTTTTCATATGAGAACAGCGACTGCGAGGGACGGTGAAGAAGCTGGAATGCTTACCTCACACAATCACCACACTTCCTTTAGACCAAAATGATCCTCGAATGGCTTGCGGAAAATCTGATAAACACTACACACATCACAGCAACTCCGCGGACACACCTAATACAAATTGATCCACAGCATCGGCTGTGGTGGATGGCAAGCAGCAAACTGCCCCCTCCAAGCCGAGCTATGTCTCATTTTATCATGATCATGTAGTACAAGTCATAATTCGAGTACGAACAGTGTCAGGACACAAAAGGTAACAAATTTCTGTCCTTTGCAAGGCGGTGGGGCAAAATAGAGAGGGCAAAGATCAAAGGAACTCGACACTATACACAGCACAGAAAGTTTTAGATATGGCGCTCCTTGGCTTGAGGGTGGGAGTTTCTAAGTTCGCTTAATTTTCTCTCACTGGTTCCGATTATGCTATACCACCAAATTCGGTGAGGACTTGTAAAACCTTGCCAAGCTGAACGAGTTCGCCGCTAGTGCATAGCTCCAACTAATGTCACAGGTCCCCAAAAGCTTTAGCTAGGTTATCCCAGCAATGGTCCGAAGGGAACGTGCAACTCGCTCCCACCTTATAGTCCGAACTGGACTGGCCTATATTTGTTTAGCACATTTGGTATTTTTCTCATATTCACCTACGTATCGTTGTATTGTATTATTTCGCAAAAAGACTTGCTTCACCAACCACAAACACACACTCATTCACACACACACAGACTTCCGCAGCCTGGGCAGAAATTCTCACCTCTTTGAATCAATACTTGTTTCTTCACACCTTCCAGCATTGAATGTCAGCGCTATTTGCTTCGGGAGAGCCACTATGCAATTTTCTGCCCAACACCTAGTAATCACCGTTTTCAACCTGCGAATTGGAGCTGGGGAGCAGCTGGTGGGTGAGCTATTTTGCACATTCGAATATTTCTTAGGTAATCAGCAGTCTAGGCACCCTAAAGCTCCCTCCCCTTGGAAATTACAGGTTGCTCTAACGCTAAATTGCGGACTGGCCTATCCCGCGACACATAGCGCGTAAGTGAAGATGTCACCCAAGGTAACCCGGAACATTGCGCAATATCAAAAGGCTTCTCGTGCGAAATTGCGGTTACCGTAATTCGCACGAACTATTGCAACGCTCCATTTCGCTGAAATAGCTCCCACACCCTAATTATTATTATGAGAGCCGAAAACCTCTAGCACTAAATATCTGGCTTGTAATTAAGCCTGCATCAAGTTGAGCGGGTAATTTACCCTGAAGTAGCCTTCTGAGACCGCCTTCATATCTATGCACTTTTTTTATAAAGAACTTTGCTATAATGTCAAGTTCATGGCGCATTCATTAAGGATTCTTCACTCTACTTAGCTTCTATATTTATTGCTGTTTCCTATGGATCCCTTCTCGACGTTTCTTGTATTCTTCTTCTACTTCTTGCTTCAGGGAACCTTTAACAGTCGGCAGTCAGCCAAAGTGC